TATTTTCATTTCCTAATAATCAGTAACAATTAACTAACCATTTATTAATATGTTTGACCTAACTACCTGGAGCACCCACTGTTGCAATTCATAACAAATTTATAAAACCTGCAAAGTATTAACTAACCATTTTAAACTCTTTATAATTTACTTTTAATAAGAAGTATGAACAAGATGCGGATAAAACATTTGTCCATCTAGAATTTGACTTATACCATCTTCATTTTGTATATGGCAATGGAAATAAGTAATCCTTCTAACAATATTTCTCTTCTGAGTTTATTTTGGAGGAGAAGTAATTTAAGTCTTGAGCATATCATCTGGAAAATGATGGAAATCACAGAAATGCAGAAATACTTCTTAGGTACAAAAGCATGCTAAAGTACAGAGTTATCTGTTCACTTGAAGAAGTGGAAGCATGAAGTACATACTGTGATCCTCAACTTGGTACGTATCAGAGGTATCTATGTCTCAGTTTTATGTCCAGGTCTGTCCTAAGAGAACACAGTTTTTTCCTTAAAAGAGCAGATAGATGCAATTTATTTTGTTTTTAATCACAGAACCAATTAAGGAATCCTCTAAGGACAGTACATACTAAGAAAACATTTCATGAACTATTGCATAACTTGTATATTGAAGAAACCCTGCTCTGCTCTGACTGATATTCTGAGCAGCTAATGAATAGTTTAAAAGGAAATACCATCCACTGCAACACAGATGCTAGTGCAGAATGTCACGACTGTGGTACAAACAGCGAGGCTCACGGGCAGTGCCCCAGCCTCCTGCTCCCCATGCCAGCAGAGGCACAGCGTACACATTTCTTTTCAGAGTCTGTCCTTTGTGGAACCCACTCTAACAATGCCATTGCTCCTTTCTGTTCCCCATCTCCTTCACCACCACCAAAATAATACAAAGAAGTAATAGCTTGTTAAAATAAAAAGCCCTGGCAAATCTGTGCTACGTTGAATTTTGATCCCATATGTACACAAGCATCAGGAATTCTATGTATTCCCATTAAGAGAGAGCAGTGCTATTGCTTTGGCTCCACTGTTAGCAATAGGCATTGCTAACACGTAAATGTAAATCCTGAAAGGGAGTGTGTACACAGACCAATTCACCTGGACAATGTTAGCTGACCATAAAGCTAACGAAACTTTTGCAACAAGAATATAAATGGTAATATGTAACACAAATGGCAAAGATGGTGACATGCATTTAACTACTGCTTTCATGAAATGCAGTGTCTACCAGACTGACAATTAACAAGTCTGAGAATGACAGCTTTTAACTGCCCCTATGTCAAGGTGATTTTTTCCCACTCAACTAGGAAAGAGACAAAAAGGCAAACACATTTTTGCCTCATGTTTCTTGATACAGTCTTTTTTAATATGTTAATCTGAAAAATGCGGCTTGCTTGTTCTTGTCAATAAACACTTCTCTTCGAATACCACTTTGAGGTTAGGAAAACTCAAATACAGATTA